AAAGAACGAATGTATGTATTCAGAACAATGGAGGAGATTTTGAACAGTTGCTATAATTATTCATGTCCACTTTGTTATTTTTTTAGTGTTGAACTGATAAAGAACAAAATTTCAAATAAACTTTCTTAAATCTGCATCAGATTTATATTCAATGCAGCAGATGCTTCAAAGACTAACTTATAACTCTGACATTTTTTTTTTGAAAAATAAAACTTGTGATACATTGTAAGAAAGGGAAAAGACTAGTCTTTTTTTGATTCAATGAAATAAAAAAAAAGTTGCCCTATACCTAAATAATGGCTTGTTTGTGTCCGTTAGAACCGGGAGTTGAAGTTAGAAGGCGAACCCGTCAAAAATTTTGTTTCTCGAAAACATGATAGTCTAGGACTCCTTTTTGTATTTCTCTTAATTGATTCCCAGCCAGCACAAAGAGGTCCTAAAGATATCTTGAAGAAATCCTTTTAGGAAATTGTGATGCCTTTTGTAACTTCTTTGAGAGATCGCCGAGAGTGCTATATCTAGGCCAAATGTCCGCCACCTAGGCTGAGCTCAGCGAGGTCTTGAAGATATCGCACGCAGAAATTCTCATACAATGCCCTCAGGCGCGCACTTCGAGATATACGCTTTCATCGCCACTGGCGATAACTTAAAGTGCTCGCAATCATGAGCTGTTTGAGAAATTCGCATACATTGCTTTGTGACGAGGACATTGGGAGATTCGCATCAATTGCTTCTGTCGAGGTCTTTAAGTGCTCGCGACTACGAGCTGTTTGAGATTTTCGCACGCATCGCCTTGTGAAGAGAACTTTGGGAAATTCGCATCAATTACTGATAGCGAACTCTTCAAGTGCTCGCAACTATGAATTGTTCAAGAATCCGTGCACATCACCTTATAACGAGGCCTTTAAGAGCGATATTTGCATCAATCGCCACATGATCGCCACTAATATGGTAAGGTGTTCAATGTTTGAGAAGTCATTGGTTATCAGTAGTCTCCTGTCGGCGAAGTCTAACTAGCGCCAGCTATATTGTTTGGGGTGGAGTTGAATTTACTGGATATTTGTTTCAGCGAAAAAAAATTAGTTACCAAACTCAGAGTTAGATCAACGTAATGAGCTTTAATTATATATTATTCTATAGCAAGACATTGATCAAGTAAACTTTATCACTTGAAAAAATCTCCGAGGAGTTGGCCGGGTATCCTTAAAAAAAAAAGGTCGTCCGATATCTACCCACGAATTTGAGGTAGATATTTTATTCTCGATCCCACCTGAATTAGAACATTTTTGTCTCTTTCGTCAGAGCAGATAATTAATTATCATTAATTCACTGCAAAATTTGAAATAATCAGTAAGAAAATCTAGTATCTAGTATACAATTATTATTATCATAGATTAATGACTCCTATTTCATGTTAATACTGGGTGTCCCAAGTTATCGTAAAGGTACCGGCAAAAACTTGCTTACTCGACAAGATGAACAAAAAATAGTAAAAATGCTTCAAATGACATCAGAGAATTTTCTTTATGACTCAAAAAAAGTGTATAAGATTGAACAGCCACCTGGTAGCAACTCCTCAATTTTCATTTAATGGACTCCCTGTATATTGTCATTGAAAATTTCCAAACATCCTATTTCGGGAATGAACGATAGCACATCGGTACTTTGTATTTTGTTCATTAATAACAACATCAACAATAAAAATTTTTGACCTCATTTACGTTACATCGATTGGAAATTGCCTCCTCCCATGTTCGTAATAATGTCCCACAATGAAATTAGATTAATTATTACACTAGGTAGGTACCGTCTGCAATGATTGATGTTCTGCAGTTCAAAATGGAATATCTGTCATTAATATTTTGAAACAAAAATGCAATCCATACTTCTTATTTGTGAACTTCTTGAACACATGGGTGAAAGTAATTTGTCGTTGTATTCCAAATAGATTGACACGCAATTTTCAGAGACAATATGCTACTAGATCAGTATCTACCATCCGGGGGCTGCCAAATATATCACATTCTTCATAAGCCATTAGGAAGGTTGGTTATTTAATGCCATTTAATGCAGTTTTTTAATGCTTTCGATATCTTGACAAATAGGCGAGATATTGCCTGTAAACGATAACTTGGGTCACCCAGTATTTGAATTATAAAGGCTATTGAAAAAAACAACTCAATATTTTTGTAGGAATATTCATTAATTATTCAGGTTATGTTTGTGATTACTTTAGGAGCTCGCAATGGGAAATTCTCGATCTTGTTATGTCCAGGATATCCTTGGGTGCTCGCAGAAAGAAATGCCTATTCATTTCCTGTTATAGATAACCTCAAGGATTCGCAATAATGAGGAATATATCAAATCTGAGGCGAGATCTCCGCGATTTCTTTCGGACGACTCCAGAGAGTATTTCCCATGGTGACAGCCTATAGTGATCTTTGATACCTCGCAGAAGGATTTCGCATTTTGATCCTGAAGATAACTACTCAGAGATATCGCGGAGAGTACCGTGTTACCTGGGATTTTGGTTATTGTAAATGTATTTTCAAGGTTAAGTTTAAAAACAGCGTAAGCTGACACTCCGCCCTTCCACTTTGATCCCACTTCGACTCACAAAATTTATATGTAATCATTTATTGTTTCCTCATTGTGAATAAAGACGCTTTATTATTATTATTATTATAAACTTAAAAAATATCAAAATAGACTAGTCCAAACCGCACAACGATAAATTGAATAATTTCCGAGACATGAGCATTTGAAATGAGTCAGAATATAACTGGTCACCCGGTATTTGTAGAAATTTTGTCATTTTGTAGTTGGATATAGTTTTTAATTCCAGATATTCATCAATAGCATTCAAGAACTTTAGAAATCAATGAATGAAAATTTCAAGTGTGCTCTGCTTCAAAATATTCACGTCACAGTGTGTTTGACAATTGTTTTTTTTAGATATCAATAGGGAGCCTTGTCAATTTGGAATAGTTATCAAGGTAAAAATTGTTATTATCGCCACTCATCTTTAGTACTGTAAGTACTCGTTGCATAACTTAATCCATTTTCAATCATTATAAGTACAATCAGCCTCTTCTGAGGAAATTATCAAAAACCAATGTGAAAAGGAGAAACATATGTATTTGATTTTTTTCGATTCTCAAATTCATTAACATAAGCTTCAGTTGAATATTTCCTTTTCTAAACAGAATTCTTGATTGATGGAAATTATAATTTAACCTCCGGATGAGACCAAGATAGGAACCACCCTGCAACTATTCAATCTCATTATCGTTTCGACTTTTATTCAATGGCTGAACCTCTGTCTTTCGTCACGAGTTTTATCAATATTATCCCCAGGACCCCCTGAGAAAGTACATTCTGCGATGGGAAAATATGAAATGTAGTTATCATAACATTGTAATAAATTTGGTACCATTAGGTACATGTAGAAAATGTATAATCCATGTAGGTATATAACCGTCTTTATCCGCAAAATATACAGCCTCAAAGTTGTGATTAGACAAAAGAGTAGTTTATCCGTTTTCGATCAATATTTTTGAATTGATATTGATCCATATTGACATTTGAATAACTTTTCAAAGTGAAAAACCTTATGATCCTTCAAAATTTACCTAACTTGACTTCAACTTTCGGAAAAAGCACAATTTTGTTGGAATTCGAAACAAATCAGCTATCATTCCTACTGGATAAAGGATTCATGATCATGAAGAAATTGTTCATAGATCCAGGATCCAATACATTTGTCAACTAACAGGTGTACATGAATTCGTCATCAATTTGTAACCTACTTTTAGTACAATAGAAGAATGGACCCTATACAAAAAAACCAATCCACTGAAAAATCGCATTTCCAAAAAACATAGACCTTTTATCTACTTGTGTCTTCAGAAATGTCCTTCATTTAATTAGGAGTTTCCTTCCTAAAACAGTTCGTGGAGTAAGATGCAGAGTTGAAAAAATCTAACTATTGTTTGGTAGTTAAATATATTGTGGGCGAAACCAGCGCCGGCACTTCCTAGTTGAAACGTTTGTTAACCACAGTTAAAAGAAGCGGTTAACCATTGGATTTCTAGGTGTATGATACTAAGCTGATATCAGAAAACAAATACTGGGCGATTCCTTCATCTTCGAGTCACCCGGTGTTGTTTTGACTAGTGATATAATGTTTTGTTAATACGGATTTTTCAACAGTAGGTAAAATATGGTTATTCAACCTCTTCTTAGTCTAGGCATATTTTCAGTGATTGATTGTTCAAATTATTTTAGTTAAATAAATAAATAAATAATGGAATGAATCGAACAAATAATGAATAATGATCTGAAAAAAAATATTTTCTTTACTCAAACGCGGATTAAAATTTACTTTTCAACAAGTAGGAAAGTTTAATTTTCAACAGCCTATTTGCATCTAAGTTAATAATTTGCATGATGGACAAGAAATCAAATATTTCCAACATATGAATGCAGAATGGCACAAATCTTGTTCATATAATTTCACTACAGACAATTCAGTCTATACTTCAAAATACAAATTATTAAATCTAGTGCCATTCTGCATTGGAAGCATCAGTTTATAATAAAATATAAAACATTACAACATGAAGATATAGTTCTTATGTAAGATTCTAAAATAACAACAAATAAAATAAGTTTGTGCATATAGCAATTATTCTATGAATCAAATTTCCCCTTATGGCAAGAAACTTTCAACTTCATTTTGTTCCCCTATATACATTTTTAGAAACTTAATATTTCTATACTGATTTAAAATGTATGTGCTTTGCTCTTAAAATACTGACCAACAGTAGGTATAATAATGTGTCTTCCTTTTTTTTTTTTTTTTCATCAAAAACTCACAATAAAATCACATGTTTATCATTATTGCACTCGATTTGTATTCTTTTGAGTCACGAATCAGAATTGTTTAATTTTGATATGCTGGCATAATTTCTTGAACAATTTTGAATCAAAATTGTTTGATTTTACTATGCTGGCATAATTTCATAAACAATTTTATTTTATTTTTTTTCGAAAAAGGCACGCGATATGAGATTCCGGTTAGTCAGTACTTTAACTTTTACAGAATAATGAAAAGTCTAGAGTATTAAAACTTTTTACGAGATTGTCCATGTAGCAGTGTTTAATCCGGAGGTAGGTAACTAAAAAGCTTAAACTTGTTCCGAATAAGAGGTCTCACATCTTCTTTCTGAAAGGATAAGGCATTTTATTTCCTTCAGAATGTACCTGTACCTACTACAAAATATCAATGAACAGAATAAACTAACACACAAACGCCTATTACATTACAGCAAAATGAAGTATAATGTCAATTTTGTATGTGTACCAAGGGATAAACGAGGGATCGGGAGTACCACTATCAACTTTTATGAAGGATCGGTTCGAAGTATCAATAGCCCTTCCACAATTGCGATCACTTCGTTCATTTTTAACTACACTGGAAATTCAGTGGAAGTAAGCTCGAGAGCGAAACTTAAGGAAAAAAACACAAGAAAACAACAACAATTTTTTTCATATTCATGAAGTAAATATATGAAATCATTGAAAATTCGCATTCTCTATCTGAGAACAGAACCAACTATTTTCCTGGCTATATGCTACGACAATCATGGAAATATATCTATTGAACACACACAATAAGAACTTGAAATGAAATCTTCGGAAGTTGAGAATTTGCATTATCTTTCAGATAAAAAATATATATGAAGGTATATAATATCATTCGGAATATTGAATAGAAAGCAACTACTTTCCTGGTTATCTGCCTCATCGAACATTGAAATACATTTGTTGAACACCCAATATGAGGATATGAAAATAGAAATATTCTGCAATATTGAGAATTATTCTCTTTCAAATCGGATATACAAGGTGTCCCAGAACAACGTACCAGAAATTCTACAGGGTGAACTAGATACCAAAATAGGCCGATTGAAATCAACTTACCTCTATAGGAAAATGTACAGGGTGATTCCCCCCCTCTAACTCAGTTATTCTTGAACCGATTTCAAAATTTGAAAAATCATCTGGAATGATTGTAAGGGTTGTGTTGTTATTTTTCTCGATAAAATATCTTGTATTCTCACGTCAATGTCACCGTCAGTGCCAATCTGGAACACGAGTATATAGATTTTCTTGCTCGATCAAGCACGGTTCTTGAAGCAACAGGCGTTCGCGTACTGTTATTAAATTATTTCGATCATCGATGTCCTTGGGTCATTACTAACGAAAATCCACTAGTCTTTGATTTGAAGAGGCGACACTTGATCCATGTAATAATCATATAAATAACATTAATTCTACAGATAACTCAACATATAATAAAATAACTAATTAGCAACAAATAAATTATAGTAGCTGTTCTATGTGTGAACCATCGTTATCAAATCATAAGGTGATTCTCTCAAAAAAGTTTCCAGATACATTATCTGATACATTGCTTGCATTGATGTTATCAATCACTCCAATGATTTTGTCTCTCAATTCTTCAACATTGTTTGACCATTCTTTATAAACTTCATTCTTCAGATAGTCCCATAGAAAAAAATCGAGTGGAGTGAGATCAGGACTCCTATGGGGCCATCTTATAGGCCCGTGTCTACCAATCCACTCATCAAAATTTTGATTCAATAAAACTGTAACCCTTTGGATATTATGAAAGGGGGCCTCTTTCATTCGATGGGAGATCATCTATATAATTATCGATCACACTTCTTAATATTTCTAAATATGAAACACCAGTCATATTGCCATCGAAAAATCTATATAAAACCCTATTATTGAATATGGAGATTTTCCGTTGCCCAGTAATGATTATTTTTTCTATTAGATATTCCACATGTGCTGAATGATGCTTCATCAGTCCAAAAAATATGATTGAAGAGAATCGGATCATCTCTTCGCTTTTCCAGAATATTTTGACAAAAAGTTTTTCTCATATTCTTGTCATCCGGAAATAATTTCTGTAGTGAACCTTGTTTCCGTACTTTATATTTGAATTGGTGCAGAATCCTTTGTGCACTTGAATAAGAAATTTCTGAATCTCTTGAAACCTCCCTTAGAGAACTTTTTCGATTTTCTTCGAAATACAACAAAATATTGAGTTCACGATTTTCATCATAATTCTTTGATTTCTTTCTGTTTTTCAATGTTTTTGTATCCTTAAATTTATTCAAAATGCGTTGGAATGTTTTCCGACTTGGAACGGGGCGATTAGGATAAAGTCTCCTATACTCTCTTACTGAGGCTCTTGCGTTTTTTCTGTTACCGAGATACAATAACTCGTTCAGCTTTGGCAGTACTCACCTGCAGAATCCCATATTTGTACTCGATATCCAGGAAGCAGTCAGTATATCCAATCTGACATTTTCACTATAATAAGGCATTTTCACCATTGATTCGACAATAATTATTGAGCAACAATATCTATACTCAGGTCCAAGGTTGACACTGACAGTGACATTTATGGAGAATACAGAATATTCTATTGAACAAAAAACAACACAACCCCTTAGAGACCAACTCATTGAGCCTCCCACATCGAACGTTTCATCAGAAAATCGGCTGTATCTTCGTAGTCGTTTGACATAACTCCATCATACCCTATATTGCTGGATTCATTTTCGAAATTTTCAACTGACTGTGCAATATAATATAGGGTGTTCCATTTAAAAAAATCATCTAGTACCTTGTAGATTGTTTGTTTTGACTTCCCTGTATTTTCTGATGTGGCAGAAAAGAAATTCATGAAAAATCATTCCAGATGATTTTTCAAATTTTGAAATCGGTCCAAAAACTGAGCTAGAGGGGGGGGGAATTTATGGTGATTCACCCTGTACAGTCCAGTCAAATTTTCTTCAATATTACGAAATCGTTGAAATGAACTGCTCTGCAATTCATAGGGCAATTTACTATAGTGAATGTGCATGGAAACATATCCTACCAATTCAATCAATATACAGGGAGTTAGGTATTTCGCATTATCTTTGATAAAAATCAATGTAACTTTTTTGGAGTGCGGCACTGATCAAATTATAGATATAGAAATACAATAGAGAATTATTGCATAAAATACTATTGAAATATGGGAAGCTCAATAAAAAATAGGTAAGTGGCGTAAATTCTACCAATGTGTACAGCCCTATATAGCCGCTATCAGTTTATTCTGCAAAAAATACAATATAAAGACTTACCACTTCAACAAGATTTTCTAAAAATGGTAACAACTTCATGAGTTCAGAGTCACTTCTATCTTCAAACCAACTTTCAATTGGTATGCCATTGTTGAGCTGAAATAATGAAACCAGTTTCAAAATAGTCAAAATTATAAGGAATAATATAGACATACATGGTAGCCAAAGGCCTGAGGCGAATTATCGATAATGATGGTCTTGGACAAATCTCTGCCGAGAATGGACAGATCCTTGATGTAGTTTCCATTAATGCAGACACAATGTTCGCGAAAAAGCCGATATTTGATCCACTTCCGCTCTGGGTCCAGCAGATTCAGAAGCTTGTCGGCATAAACTCTCTTTGAAGCAGTGAACAAAATTACTTCAAACATCTGTGAAACTTTCTCCATGAATTCTCTGAAGTATGGTCGAGTTCTTACGTAAACCGTGTAGGAACAATTTTGAAAAAGCACTGGGAAGTGGAAGCTGGCATCTTTGAGTTCTTGTAGACTGCAGTGAACCAATGTTTCATCAAGATCCAGAACCTGAAGAAAAATGCAATCCAAGATGTACAAAAAAAAACAAGTTAACTTTTGGTGTTTTTTTTTTAATGTTCTGGTTCCCACGAAAAGAGATATACTGTAATGTTCAGAGAACATCGTGGGAACTAAGGGAAATAGGGTAGAAATTGGTGTTCTTAAATTCCTGATGTTCAGTTCAATTTATTGATGCCCATCATATTGGTTACATCATCAAAACAGAAGTGTTCAAGTTGTTGCCGTCAGGTGGAGCCACGTTTATTTTTAATCGCGAATAGTGTCAATGATATTATGTGATAATTCACACAGATACCGTTGCGTATGCAACATAGCAACCAACGAAAATGATACAATCTTGAAACGAAATATAGTCGAAACTACAAATCTCATTACAGCTGAAAGCAACTTGGAGTATGAAACATTTTTAGAATAATTTGATTGTTATTAATTCTAATAAAAAAGCCACAACCAAATCTAAGTGAGCTGTCACTGTCTTGTGTGAATTAGACAAAAATATTCAAATAACCATGACATTTGGTAAGGAAACATTTTTGACCAATCAAAAAATTTCCACTATGGCGGTCGATACGATAATACCTTCAATGATTGCTCAATGGTATCATGTGCGATATTCATATATATATAAAAAAAATTATTTTTCTACTCACATAACTAAAATGGCATTTATATAGCGTACGGATATGTACCACGTTAAATGATCGATTAATCACGGATTGTCGATCTGTGATTTATTCAAAATATTAAACACGTTACCATGGCAACACGATTCCTTAAACACATTACCAAGGCAAAGCAGTTCATTAAACACAGCTTCAGTAATTTGAGACATGTCTGGTCTGTCAATTGTATTAACTGTCAACTGTTATTTTCAAATTTTGTATCAGAATTATTCGAGGTTAGCAGGAATAGCAGGTATGTAATTTTCGGAGTTCATAGAAAAAGCATAGTATGTAACGCGTTTATAAACTCTTCTAGACACTCGTTTATTAAACACTCGTTACTAAAAGACCGTTTATAACACTTGTTACATAATATACTATTATATATTTATTCATTTTTAAAACAACATACATTTCAGCATACTATATTAATAGTAATATACACGTTTTTTTTTTAATAAAAAGATGATCAAAAGAGTTGAAAACTTGTCCATGATCATGTAATATTTTTTTCCTCCCACTAAGTAACTAAAATCAATTTTCTCATTGAGTACAATTTACATAAATAAATATTCGTAATATCTAAAAATAACTATAAAAACATATGTTGCATAAGTATTATTTTATACAAACAAATTTCCAAAATTTCTGAATTCCCATTATATTAATGAGTACTGTATTTTTATTATATACTCGCAATATTTATTCAGCTTCATGCAGCTTCCTATCAAAATGGATTTCACTCAAATCCTTACTCGATTTTGTATTTATTCACAATTTCACATGGAATTTTAATACAGCGTTCATTTTCGGACAGCCAAGTCGAATTTCCATTTAGTTTGTTTGACAACTGAACTGGGCTTTTATTGATATATCAGAATTTTAGTAATATGCTGAATTGAATATACACGGTGAATGGCATTGCTCCTTCAATAGAAATGAAAATCTGAATTGAAAAAACATGTTGATTTTTCAGTGTTATTTTATTAGTGGAAAAAATATTATATATACACCTCAGGTGAGAATGCTATTATATATCTCGCACATTATATCCTTCGGCGCTTCGCGCCTCTTGATATAAAAGTTCTCACCCTAGGTGTATAATATACTATATTTATATACATCTGTTATAACAGTTTGTATCTTACTTTTAGTTTTTTTCAATTGTTTTGTATTTTTCTTGTTCGTTTTTATTATTTGTTCCTGTTTTTTAAACACTCGTACCTAAGTAACTGTACTATGTGGTATTTGTGAGTATTTTTGAATTGAGAATTAGGAATGTGATTATTTTTGAATGAGAATGTTTTGTTTGGTTCTATTTTGTTGGAAATAGGTTACTTTTCTGTTTACTAAAAATACATAATCTTTTGACATCAAAGGTTTCTTTCATTATCATTTTTTGGAATTTGTATAGCATAAAATAGATCTTTAACAGATCTATCCAAATTTACTGAATTTTTGACAAGGTATTTACTCTTGGAATAAAAATCGAACTGGCAACCCTGGTGCGCGGAGAGTTAGTTGACAACAACTGTCATTTGCTGTAGTCAAATTAATTATTCAAGAAATCCGATAGATTTCACATGGGAAAAGGACCATGATGTGAATATAAGTGCCTCTAGCATAGTGATCTAAAAACTCAACAAAAACAAATTCACTTGCCCATTGCCCTTTCTAAGTTCACATTTAATATCATTATTATTACAGTTTACTTACCAAACTGAATGCAGGACTGGATCTTGTCTTCAGAGGCAATGCTGGACACTTTGATCTCATCTCAAATGTCAAAGGAGGCAAGTGCTTGATGAACAGATATGGATCAAAAGCATCCCACGTATCCTCAACCTCAACATGCTCTGGCTGCCTATCTAATCTCTCCACCTCTTGGGGACCAACACTAGTTATCATGTGATTATCTGGTATATTTGGAGGATAAAGTGTTGTGTAGTCATACACAACATTTGCGATGTTGACGTTTTTAGAAATTTCTTCATCAAGCATATTCGAAAATTCCTGTGTGGTAACATTACTCAAATCGCCAATGTCAATTTGTAGATCTGGATATTCATTTCTTGGCGGAGCATACTCATAGTACATGCTCTCACACATTTTCTCTGTGACAACCCCAAAGCTGTATTTATCTTTTTGATATTCACATGACTTTTTGTCAGTAACGTGAAATTGCATTCTATCTGGATAACTTTCTGGGTATGCTTCTCCAGAGCTCAATTCAATTGTTGAATATTCAATTTCATTTGGAAGATCTGTATTTGCAGTTTCGAGTGGTGCTTCATAAGAACTAGTGCCTGAAATTGTGGTATCAAAGTAACTGTAACATTCATTTAGGGATGACATATTATTAAGTGGAGGTGCATCATTCAAAGGTTCTACAATGGCTTTGCTTGGTTCTTCATATAGTTCAGGAACTACTTGAACTTGATAGTTTTCTTTGCATTCTTCAGTGACTGTATTGGTTAATGAAACCTCTTTTTTCTTGTGCAGCTTCTTCCTTGAAGTTTTGATACAGCTTGTATATAAAGAGACAGTTCGTGCTTTGGGTGCCCATCCAGTCTTTCTCAAAGTTTTTCTTGTCGTCTTGGTGCATAGAGAGAATTTATGAAAACCTCTATTTCGCTTTTCGCTACGGAGCCACATTATTACTGCTGTCCATTTATACTGCAAGAAAAGACTATTGAAAAAATTTGATAATGAATTTCTGAACATAAATCTTCAATGAAGTTACGATGATAAAGATTGCATGGTTTGGTTAATGGTATAATAAGCCAGGAAAATTCCTTCATGTACCAATAGATTAATTATTCTTGGCCACTTGCGACAGGTAAGATAATCTCTAGTCAGCGACGACATTTCGCGGTCATGGTATACATACTATTTTTGTGCAAATGTGAATTCATGTGAAAATATATAAAAAAAATATCTTATAAAAAGGCAAGCTTACTTGAAATAAAAGAATAGACATGCATGGTATAGTTCAGTTTGGCATACTCTGTTTCTGTGTTGCGATCTCAAAATAGGTATTACCTATTGAGGATGGTAGAGTTGATTATTATTCGCATTGGAGGCTGCCACGATAAGAAAACGCGTTGAGAAGTGGTGATTCATAATTTCATTTCATGAAAAATTTCGTTCCGGAGTTATGGGAATCAATATTCTATTTTACCAATAATCATCAGTTCGCAAATGAAATTGTATTAACAGGTAATTGGCCATGAAGAAGTATGTACAACATATATACCGGGTGACAACGAAATCATCGGACAGGGCGTCATTCAGTTGTTTTTTTGACATTTGAATAAAAGATATAGTTCCTTGAAACCCATATTCTCCATGAAAAGACAACTGGATATAACTGCCGGTTTCACCGGAAATAGACCTAGGTTGAGAATTTTGAATGGAACCCTGTATATATTTTACGCCATTCATTAGATCTAAAAATTCCCTTTTCAATGACATAGCACAGTCAAAAATTCATCCACTTCCTGTTTACCAATTAAGATGAAATTGGCAGGTTCACATACCGTGCTTTCATGAAAAAACACTGCAAAGGCAAGATAATCGTTCGCAGTTTAGGCTAGCACCTAGGGCATGGCTCGCTTTCCCGTTTATCAAATAACGATGTTTCACGAGTTATGTCCTATATGCAGTGTTTTTCGATGGAAGCACAATATGTGTGTATCGGTAACAATGCAATTTGGCTTTTTCGTTGCAAAAATCTTCAAATTAAGACCAAGGTCGATAATTTTCGAATCCGAAAAAAAATATAGTAGAAAGAAACCCATTGTAAAAGGAATAGAAGATCGAATAAAGAATATAACATAGATGGAAAGGAAAAATAAATTTCGGGCTCTTTGAGGTCGGGAAGTGGAAAGGGGTGAGCTTTCAAGGGTAAAAAACGGATTATCCCGTCCTATGGAAAAATGTTGAATAGCCAAGTTGTACGTAATAAGAAGGTCAATAAATTTTGTCTTCACACTTTTCTGACATAACCTCAAAATTTATGTGAAAAATTCCATTAACCAAGTTTTTGATTTTCAATTCTTTCACAAAAAAAATTTCACGAAATTTGGTGAAAACTTGCCACTTTATGTCCCAAGTACACTGTAATTTTTTTTATTCGAAATAGTCATTTTTTTACCTTATTTCGACCTAATATCGTAAAAGCACTCTGATTTTCTATCAAACTAAATTTTTGATTTATTATTTTTATCATTCACAAAAAAAAAAATTCCCACGAAATTTGGTGAAAACTTGCCACTTTATGTCCCAAACACAATGTAGTTTTTTTGATTTGAAATATTCATTTTTTCACCTTATTTTGACTCAATATCGAAAAAGCACCCTAATTTTCAATCAAAATTCTCGCATTAAATATATGCTTTTCCAAAAAAGTCGGTGAGCTTTTTTTGTTAAAATCTCTACTTTCTGATGGTGTGAAAGATATACCGGGTGACAAAGGAGACATGTAACAGCCTGTAGTTTTTTTATTTGAAGAGATAAAAAATTCAAATTCACAAGGCTTATATTATCGATAAAGGCGCTACCCTTGAACCCAATGACAATTTTCTTCAACCACCTGTTTGATGGGAAGTAGATCCAACTTTTTATTTTCAAATGGCATCCTGTATATTTCTGTAGCCTTTCATATTCGCCTTAAAATTCTCTATTCAACTATGTATCACAATTTGATAAGCGAAATGATACTGAAAATACACTAATGTAGACTTATGGACAGATGTATTAGGACGATACATCAATTATTTAAACAATTTCAGTTTCATGTATTCAAATGGATAATCATATTATGGCCACATTGCAAAAATGAAAGACAATTAGTTTCTTCACAAATAGCCAAATGAAAAAAACTGAGTTTCTATCTTAGTTTTCTCAATATCGTGAGTTATTTTCGGACGATTAAAAGGAGAAAAAAACGATAACTCTAAGTCTAGTAAGTGATTTTTTAAACTCAATGACAATATTGGAAATCTTCTGGGACCGGTTAGGGTATGGAAAATATTCTGATAATATCGTCTAAGTAATGATCTTTGGATTTCTAAGCCTATCAAGCATCGAAACGTCATTGTATTCGGGCCACAGCCAAATTAAGGAGGGGTTTACCCTCTGACAAACTTAATCTAAGGTGTAAAGGGGGAAGTAAAAATCCTGTCCGAAGGAGGCGGGGCCCGATAACGAAGGAAGTCGTCTAGTGTCTCACTCCAACTCATTCTAGCGTAAAATATTTCAACATTTATAGTAAAAGCGGCCTTGAGTGTTACCCCTTGAGGCATCTGCGGTCGTCTGAATTCTCCGAATAAGTCCCACAGGCACAGCTTACAAGTTGTGCTTTAGGCAATATACATCAGTATTCCGTAAAAATATGCATAGGCCGAAATGGAATATGAGTATGGAGTAATAAAATTAAAATTGTTTTCAACATTATGATGGATATTTCGCATATGAGTGAGTATTCATATAGCTAATGATAATAATATTAGGCCGGATGCTAGTATAGGTACATACCCAGTGTTCATTTGAAAATTTTCCAACCGCCATGTCTCGGTTCTCGGAAAATCGCCGAGACAGGTAAACAATAACTATGAGGAGGACATGTTTTCACGTAAAAATCACCTTGCTCGTTTCATCCCCTTTGCCTTCACTGATGCCAGCCCTTCAAAAATGTTAAATGACATTGTAGGGGTGAGAAGTTTTCAAAAGAATATACCCGTTATACCTATATGAGCATAAATTAGTAATATGTATAAACTCAACTGCAAAAATATAATTCGAAAGTACGAATCTGAATAATAGAAAGGCAACAAAAACAGTTCAAGATAGGGAAAAACCGAAAGGGAATTTTTTACAGAAAAATTCTGCTATATTCGAATGGCTTGCACTCACCTATACATGATTTATTGATTGAAGACAAATGCAAATGGAATATCAAAATGCATTGTTACAGGGGAAGAAAAATAACTATTACATGAGTGGAATTTTTTGGTTTGTATAAACAGAATTTATATTGTGTAATAAACAACGCCATATACAGGGTGTCTCAGGTTTTACTCGTCTAACTTTGACAATCGATAGCAAAACTCAAAATATATTAGATACGTATTTTTCTGTTTTGTCATGGAGAAACATGTTTTAATTATACGGGGTGTTAAGGTTCGCATACATTTTTGGTTTTTAATTTCTGTCTCAGTTGAAACAAAACCTAGCGATCTGAAATTCGGTGAGCATTTTCCTATCGGCAATATGAACAGTCCTTATCCATTGAAAAAACTGGGTGTTATCGTCACCCCCAATGGGAGTAACGATGTTATTCTTTTTCGAGCCCTCTGACATGGAACTCATCAGATTTTTTTTTATTGGGACGCTAGTGGTGGATCGAAGCTAATGAAAAATCATTATTATTTCTTCACCACACTTTGTGTTTTTCATTTGTTTCAATATCTTTCGTGTACGTGAACCATTCAATATTCAATTCGAATGATAATTTGATGTAAGATAAACATTTAGGTTATAAAATTGTTATGCATAGTAGGTGTTACATTATTTCAAATAACAAGGAAACTAAGAAGGGTAGGGAAAGTTCATATACCGGGTGACACAGGGTATCGGGCCACCCCTGTAACTTCTGCATTCGTCAATGAATTTTTCTGAAATTCTGTACAGTTATATAAGCAATTATTTCGGATTTGATCATATTACAAACCAATATGGCGGACTTTCGGTATTTCTGAAAATGCCAGCAACTTTGTTTTTTCAAACGAAACACCCTGTATATTTTTACATATTCAAATTCAACAGGTCGAAACAAGTGCAATCTTTATTTCAAATGTCATTTTTTCGAAAAAATTTAAATTACAATTGTTTTTTCATTTTACCTCGTGGATAAATGAGATGTGGTCAAGACTATTCACAATGAGTCACACATAACAGAAGAACATAATTTTTTCTGAAAAATTATTTTTTGTGTCACTTATCCAGGAATCAATTCAGCCACATCACTTTTTGATCAAAAATTTTTTTTTTTCAAATGGAACCCCTATGGGCCACCTACCCGTCTCTCTAGAACATACCTTAAGGAACAAAATGACATATCATTTTTGTTTTTCGGTGCAGTAACAAATTGTATACATTCAAAAATCAACAACTAGTTTATGAATTTCCTTGCAGTTAGAATAATTTTTCTAACTAGGTAAGCTGTGGAATAAATGACATTTGACATCAAGATTGCACTTGTTTTGACCTGTTGAACTTGAATATGTAAAAATATACAGGGTGTTCCATTTGAAAAAACAAAATTGCTGGCATTTCCAGAAAAACCGGAAGTCCGCCATATTGGATTGTAATGTGATCAAATCCGAAATTGTTGCTTATATAACTGTACAGAATTTCAGAAAAATCCGTTGACGAATGCAGAAGCTACAGGGGTGGCCCGATAACCTGTGTCACCCGGTATAACAGATAGAAAAGTGCTTACCGAATGTCAAATCTCTAGGTTTGGTTTCAACAAAAATAAAAAATAAAAACCAAAAATTCATGCGACCTATAACACCCTGTATAATGAATACAAGTTTCTCCACGATAAAACAAAAAAAAATACGTTTATAATATCTTAATTTTTGCTATCGATTGTCAAAGTTAGACGAGCTAAA